CCCTTGTCCTGAGCTCCCCTCCCAGGCCCCAGCTGTCCGGCCCATCCTGAAGCAGCCGCGCTTCGATTACCAGGGCTGCATCTGCCCTTCAGGAGCCGAGCCTCGGGGACAGCGGAGTTTCTATTCTGGGGCTGTGGATAATGAGCGCGAGGGGCAGGAAGCCCCGCTCCAGGAGCGTGGCGAAATAGGGCACCCACCCCCTCCTCTGCCCCAGGCCCCCCAGTAATTGGCTTCCACGGAGGAAGCCTGAGCCCCCGCATGTTTGAATACAAGAAGAGACAGGGGCAGGGGCAGCCAGCAGCGTGCTTGTCTGGGCCAGGATGAGGATGTACATCCCTTCCCCCAGCGCCCACCAGGGTCCACCCTCTGGCACAAAGGCACAGCCTGGCTCAGGGCCACGGCCAGCCCGCTGTCGGTTTGCTTTGGGAGCCACCCAAGGACATGTGGGAAAGTGGGAAAGGCTCAGCACCAAATCCACCCCCCGCCCCCCAGGCTGTGCACACACCCGTGCCCTGGGCCTGGTGCTCCCAGCTCCCGCTCGCCAACTGTGGCGGGGCCAGGTGCAGCTTCCCAGCTCCTAGTTTTGCTCGTGGGAACTGCCTGGGCAGGCTGACACAGAGCTGCTGGGTGTCTCTGCCCCTGCAGGTTTTCTTGGAAGGAGGACGCAGGAGCAGTGGTGTGGACTGGGGCTGTCTGGGGCCTGGGCAGAAGGGACCCAGCTCCCTCCTCCACCCCCACCCATCCCGGATGTGGGATTGGACACCGGAGACGGGGCCAGGGCCCATGCAGTGCTGATGTCAGCAGGAGCCCTGGTCCAGCCCTGCCACCGCGGTGGGGTGGGAGCAGCAGGACTGCCAGGGCATGGGACGGGAGCTGTGAGGGCCACACACTTTCACATGGCGCCTGGGGGGCTCGGAGCCTGGAGGGGCCTGCCAGGCTGAAAAATGGCCGGCTGGCATGTGTCCGCCCCCTCCCGCGGGTGAGAAGTCCGGGTTTTGCAATCCTGCAATTACTATGGTTAGCAAAGATGCCAATTCCTCCCTTTCGGGCAATTTTCAAAAATGGAAACCAATTTTGTTTGTAAGGGCCTCTGCCGGAGGAGTCAAACGCCACAAAGTCCACGGAAGCACTGTGTCCGTCCCGGCAAGAGTGCTAGGTCTAACCCCACGCGAGGAGGGCTTCACTGGGGGATAGCAAGTTCCTGGTGTGTGTGCACCTGGGCAGAGCTGGGGAAGGGGGAAGGAGTTGGAAAAGAAGGTTTTGGAGCTGAGTCAGGACAGTTTCCAGACTTCCATCTGTGGCTGGCAAGGTGACAGCCTCTCAAAGAGGCCCGTGCCATAATCCTCAGGACCCACAGATGGGACGTCGTCGCCCTGTGGGGCAGCAGGGGCTCACAGCTGGGATCAAGTTCAAGGTCTTGAGGAGGGGCGATTAGCCTGGGATGTCTGAGTGGGGCCAGTGTCGCCCCAGGTTCCTCCCAGGAGGGCAGTGGGAGGGTCAGAGTCAGAGAGGGAGGTGTGACTACAAAAGCTAAGGACAGATTTGACGAAGCCACGGTGCTGGCTCCGGAGGCCCAGGAAGGCACCAGGTGGCGCAGCCCTGCACGCAGGTGCACCCGAGACTTCTGACCCCCAGGTACGTGAGACACTGAGTCCTGTGGTTTTCAATTAGCGCAGCAGTGGGACTCTATTATGGGAAGGCTTTAAAACATTTGTAGAAAAAAACGGAATTAAAAGATAACTAGAATTTCCCATGACCCTTTGAAGCTCTCTCCTACGGCATCCAACACGAAACTCGGCCCAGTTCTTCCAAGAGCTGAGAGCAAACCCATCTGCTCAGGAAGCAGAGGTGCAGTAGCCAGGGTGTGAGCTCTGAAGCCAAGGTGGCAGGCGGGCGAGGGAGGTTTGGCTTCCTGTACAGGCATAAATAACTTTCAACGGGCCGCACCCCGGTACCACGGGAGGAGGCAGGCCAGCCCTGCAGAGACACCCCTTCTTCCCACACGTGCGTGAGCACACCCTCCATCCCTCTTCCAAGACACTCAGTGTTGTTACAGGTTTCCACCAGAAACGCAAAGCAGGGCGCACGCTCCCGCTCCGGATGGCCACGTTCTATTCTGAAGGGGCCAGTTCGTCTCGGCTGCTCTGCTTCCAATCCAGCTTCCTGTTAATGCATCTTGGGAAGGCGGCAGAAGATGGCTCGGGTGCTTGGGCCATTATCACCCTAGTAGGAGACCAGGATGGAGTGCCTGGCTCCTGGCTTCTACCTGACCTAGCCCCGGCTGTTGGGGGCATTTGGGGAAGAGAACCAGCCAATGGGAGATTCTCTCTCTCTGGCTGAAATAGGCATTTAATTTAAAAGAAAAGACACATGGGGCCGGTGCTGTGGCATAGCGGGTAAAGCTGCTGCCTGCAGTGCCAGCATTCCATAAGAGCATTGGTTCAAGTCCTGGCTGCTCCACTTCCGATTTGGCTCTCTGCTATGGCCTGGGAAAGCAGCAGAAGATGGCCTAAGTGCTTGGGCCCCTGCACCTGCATGGGAGACACGGAAAAGGCTCCTGGCTCCTGGCTTTGGATCGGCACAGCTCGGGCCATTGCAGCCAACTGGGGAGTGAACCAGCGGATGGAAGACCTCTCTCTGTGTGTAACTCTTTCAAATAAATAATACTAATAAAAGACACACTGATACACTCTAGCATCCTGGTAACTTCCTGGTTTCCCCTCCCAGAGCTGTTAGCATTTGGAAAAGAGCAGCCCCACAGAGGGTAATGAAGGAGATCCCAATCTCAAGAACAATCTCTGGTCAGCTCCTTCCCTGGGAGAACACCGTGTGACGATGAAGACAGGAGTCAGAGTGGGGTGATGCCCGCACAAGCCCAGGGACACCCAGGAATGATGGGGCCTCCCTCACAGCTCCCCCAAGGAACCAGCCAGCCCACACGCTGACCTTAGATTCGTGAGAAAACGGATTTCTGTTCCTTAAGCCCCAGGAAGCCTGCACCTGGTCTCCAGGCACCTGCATTAAGAATGTTCTGGAAGCTGCAGCTCAGGAGGCGAGAGCAAGTGAGAGGCAGAGCCCTGGGTCCCTGGTCCAGGCAGGACACCCACAAAGACAGGGAGCCCACCCCCACCACATGCCCAGAGCTGTCAAACCACTGCAGGGAAACAGGCGCTTGGGCCAAACAAGCACTCCCTACACAGCCAAGAATCCTGCACCGCCAGTCTGCTGTCCTGGATCCCCACACGCGGGCAGGTGGCACCCCTCCGCCCGCCAGGCTGGCACAAGCCAGAAGCCGCATCTAGAAAACTCTCAGGACGGAAAACCACGCGCAGGACGGTCCTAGGACATGGGTCTTAAAAAGAGCCAGTGGGGCCGGCCGGATGCCCCCTTGGCCTGCCCTCGCCGGCTGGGAGGGGCCTCCAGGCTCTGCAGCCGGGAGCTGGAATCTCCTGGCCAGGTAGCTCCAGGGAAGAGTGCGGTGGCAGGCATCCCCTCCCACTGACAGCCAGCAATCTGCCACCTGCTGCCTCACTCCAGGTTACCGGAGAGCTGAGGCCAGGCAGGTGACTGGCTGCTTTCTTTCTCAGAAACACAAAGCCACCAGGGGGTGGAGGGTTCTCAGGTGCGAAAGACAACCCCTGTCACCTGTGAGACAGGTATGCGAGGGAGCCCCGCCCTTCGTGGGTGATCAGGTCAGACCTCCTGGCCGGCCCACACCTGCCTGCTGTCAGGCCCCGGGCGGGCCCTGCTGGGCACAGAGGGCTGAGGAGGGAGCCGGCTGGGAGTGATGGTGCTGTGTCCCAGAGCCGCCGCACCTGGTGCTGGCACTGCTCTGGCGCCTGAGCAGGGACGTGGCGAGGCCCCCGCACCTCCCAGCCGTGGGGGGGGGGAGCAGCACCTCGCTCCGGCAGGATCCAGGCTCTGGGGTCGAGGGCGGCAGAGGAAGGCAGCCTGGCCCGGGGGTGGGGCATGAGCAGAGCGAGGGAGGCAGAGACCTGGGGCCGAGGGTCGAGGTAGCAGGGAGGACAACAGGGCCATTGTGCTAGCGGGAGCCCGGGCCAGAGGCTTCGCCCTTCGCCTCCCTCCCACGGGGCCGTCCTGAGCCGGCGCCGCCCCCCAAGCCCAGGGACAAGGGGCCCCGGCAGGCTGCCTGCCGCCCCTCCCCCAGTTCCCAGTCAAGCCCACCCCGCGGACTTCAGGGGCCCCAGCGTGGGGTCCCCGAGAAGAAAAGGGGGCCTGTGCTCCAGGCCGGCGTCATCACCGTGAACTCACGCACAGCCAGGTCTTCACGGCCCCCTGCCTCAGTTTCCCCTCTCTGCACGGCAAACAGCGGCGGCTTTTCAGGCCTGCGGGAGATGCAGCGGGGGTCTGCGTCCGTCTCCACCAAGGCTGGGGTCCCCCACGCGTCTTCCAGGCGCCGAAGCCGGACCTGCACCCTCACCCTCGCTCGGAGGGAGATGAACAGAGGGGAGGCGAGGGCCTGCGGCCCGGGGCTCCCGCGCGCAGCCCCTGCCTCCCGCGCCTCCCGCGGCTCCGCAGCGCGTGACAGCGGCACTGCGGCTGCAGCACTGCCCTCCCCCGCCCGCCGCCGGACTCCTGGGACGTGGGGGTGGGGGGCCGGGGTGCAGGACCCTGTGCCCACGGGTGCGCCCCGCGGCGCCGGCAACGGGGGGCGACGCCTCTGACCGTCGCCTCGCCACGTTCTCGCTGTCGCTGGGTTCCTCCGCCCTTAAGCGCGTAGCTGAGCCGCGGCCTTGGAACCCGGGGGTGTCCGGGGGCCGCTAGGGGAGGGCGCGTCCCAACCCGCGCCCCGCTCCCGGCGGGAGAAACCCCCTCGGGGGGAGGCCGTCCTCCTGCCCCCTCCCCCGCCAAGTGTCACGAAACGGGGCCGGGCCGCCTGGGTCCCCGCGAAGGAAAGGTGCGGCGGAGGCGTGCCCGGGCTCGGGGCGCCGCCCGGCTAATTGGCTCCGCGCTCGTCCCGGACCTGCCTCTTCGCGATTTAAGGAGCGATGAGAGGCGACAGGCGTGCGCGCGGCGAGCGGGGCAGGTGTGCGCGCCCGAGCTCTCCGCAGCCGGGGTCCGGGCCCCCTCGGCTTTTCCGCACTCTGGCCCTACCTGGTCGGGTCACCACGTCGGCCGTGGCAACGTCTTCCTTCCCAGGCGCTGCAAATAACCGGGGGATTTAACTCGCGGTGGCGGCGGGCGCGTTCGGGTCCCTCGCGGGGATAAGTGTATTTCACACACTGTCACACGCGTCCCCGTGCGAAAACCCCTGCGCGCTGGTGCATCCGCGCGCAGGCCCGCGGGGGGCGTGGTGGGCAGCGGGGGCCACGCCCTCCCAGCTTGGCGCTCCCATCGGGACCCGGGCCCAGGGCCCTTCTGCCATGCCAGGCGCCTCTCCTGCGGGTGACCAGCGAGGACCTGGATCGCCCGCTGCGGGCAGCTGCTCTGGCCCAGGTGAGCCTCCATGCCGCTCCCCTGGGGGAAAGGACCCAACTTTTGAGGTTCCCAACAAGGCTCTCTCCTCCCGCATCTCCCTTTCCAGTTCGGAGCCCCCCCGCCGTGGCCTTGTCACCCGTCCTGCCCAGGACGGTGCGTCCGGCTGCCTCCAGCTCCGTGGCCAAGCTGCAGCGCCAGGAAGCTAAAAATAACCTCACTCGGGGAGTGCGGGGGTGGAAAAGCGAGGGAAGCCCCGCGGGCGGCGGGAGAGAGACCCCGACCGGGACGAGGGGCGCCCGGAGAGGTCCGGGCTTCGAATTCCTGGGTGGGCTAGGCAGGGTGCGCCAAAGGGGCTCTGCATTCCCGATTCTGCAGGCAGTGCCCGGGCGACGAGGTCGCGGTGTCGAGATGCTGCGGGGGGCATCTCCGAGAGCGTGGAAGGGCGCGCGCCTGAAGCCCGCTCAGACTTTGGGCAGGGAGCCGGATTCCTGGGGGGCCCGCGCTGCGCGCTCGCTTTCGCGCCCCCGACGCGCGCCGCCAGCGGCCGGGCCCGAGACTCCGCGCCTCGCCGGCTACCCGCGCCGTTCCCGTTACAAGCAGCGGGGACGCGCGGGTGCGCAGCCGCGCCCCAGGACCCGGCCTGGAACCCGCGCGTGGCCCAACCGCGGGCGCGGACTGTGCTGGGGTTGTGCCGGGAGGGCCCGAGCGGGCGGGGACCGGGAACGCGCGGGGCGCAGGTTCCACCCCTGCGAGCACGGGGAACGCGGGGCGTGGCCAGGCCGGCGCCGCAGCTCCCCGCGGCGAAGTTGGCCGGAAAGTTTGAGGCCGGAGGGAGCAAGCCCGCGAGTCCACACCAGCCCGGGTCTCCCCCCCCCCTTGCCTATCAGATTGCGGGGCTGCGCCCGGGACGAGCTGCGTTCCGCTCCAGGCAACTGTAGGGAACTGCGGTGGCTCGTCTTCCAAGCAAACCGGACGGACTGGGTAGGGCCGCCCGCCCCGGCCTCCCGTGGCTGGTGGCTCCTGGCGGCCCGCCCCTCACCGGGCCCCAGGGAACTAGGCCACGCACAGCGCCAGTCGGCGCAGGGGCGAGGGCAGGCTGCAGCTGGCTGCACGGCTGGGGGTTCGGCGCTCGCGCAGCCCCGGCTCTGCTCCCCCCGAGCGCGGCGCGGATCCCGCCGGAGCGGGGCCCGCGGAGGCGCGCGGGGAGGCTCCGGCCGCTCTGGAGCTCGGGGCAGGGGAAGCGGGGAACCGGCCGGCTCCGGGGCGGGAGTCGTCGCCCTAAACTTCCTGCTCCGCGATGACCGCTCAAGTTCTGGGATTTTTACGCAACTGGACTCCCCTCCCCCTGGCATCCCCGCGGGGTGAGGCGCTGGTCCGAGCGAGAGAGCCACGGGGCTCTGACTCATCCGTCCCGCCGGAACCCGAAGGCCCCGGAGAGGAAAGCCCCCGGGAGGAGACCCTTCGGCGCGAGGGTCGGGGGCGCAGTCCCCGGACGCGGGCGCCCTTGGCGGCGCCGGACCTCGGCTCTCTGAGCCTCCCAGAAAGGCGGGCTCCCTGGCCGCGGGCTGAGGACAAAGCAGGAGCGCCGGGCGCCCACTGCCCCCACCTCGAGGAGCCGCGGCTCGGGTCTCCGCCAGCCGTCTCTCTTCTCCCTCAGATCCGGCCGCCGCCGAGAATGACGCGGGCGACCCCGCTGCTCCGACGCCGGGCGGGGAGGGCGAGCCCCGCAGCCGGCCCCGCGACGCGCGCCTGGACAGCGCCGATAAGGAGCTGAAGGCAGAAAGCGCCGCCACGGGCAGCGCCCCGACGGCGCTGGGGACGCCGCGGGCCCAAGTTATGGATCCAGGTTTGTGCGGGCCTGGCTGGGAAGGGCCATGGCGGGGTGGGGGGCGGGGGGTTCTGGGGGGTCCCCTTGTTTCTCGCCAGGAGCGTGGAACGCGCAGCTGCGCGCGAGGGCCTGGGGCCGCTCCAGAGGAAACGCTTCCCTGCCGCGAGGCCGGACGTGGTGGGGCCCGAGCCACGGAAAGGGGTGTCGGGGGCGCCCACCGCACCCGGAGGTCCCCACGCGAGGCCGCGGGCGGCCCCGAACCACCCCGGGAACCGGGTTGTCCGTGGCCCCCTAGTGGCCGATTGGGAACGCGGGGCTCGTGGTTTGCTTCCGCAGCGAGCGTCCCCCAGGGCCTCCCCAGGCCCTGCCGCGTGCTGGTGCTGCTGAACCCGCGCGGTGGCAAGGGCAAGGCCCTGCAGCTCTTCCGCAGCCACGTGCAGCCCCTGCTGGAGGAAGCCGAGGTCTCCTTCAGGCTGACGCTCACGGGTGAGGAGTGCTTCCCGAGGAGGGCCCGGGGAGCGCGGGCGCGGGGCAGGGGGCCCTGAGAGCTGCCAGTCTCCCGGCAGAGCGGCGGAACCACGCGCGGGAGCTGGTGCGCGCCGAGGAGCTGGGGCGCTGGGACGCGCTGGTGGTCATGTCTGGAGACGGGCTGATGCACGAGGTGAGGCGCGCGCCTGGCGCTGCCCCGCGTGGCGGTGGCCGGGGCTGCTCACGGGGCTGAGGCCGCAGGTGCTCCTGCAGGTGGTGAACGGGCTCATGGAGCGGCCGGACTGGGAGACCGCCATCCGGAAGCCGCTGTGTAGCCTCCCAGCAGGCTCTGGCAACGCGCTGGCCGCTTCTCTGAACCACTATGCGGGGTGAGTGCCCAGGGCCCCGGGCGGGGCTTGGCTTCCCTCGGGTGCCCCCCACTCCCACTCCCACTTCTGTCTCCCGCACTTTCCCCTCGTTCTCCCCTGGAGGCCCTACCTGGCTGCCTACATCGGTGACTCAACGCCACCTCCATCACCCAGGAGGAGGAGGAGGAGGAGGAGGAGGAGGAGGAGGAAGGGGAGGATGGGGGCGGCTCCCACCCTGCCTCACATGGCCTCTTCCTCTACAGCAACGAGCAGGTGACCAACGAAGACCTCCTCACCAACTGCACGCGGCTGCTGTGCCGCCGGCTGCTGTCGCCCATGAACCTGCTGTCGCTGCACACGGCCTCCGGGCTGCGGCTCTTCTCTGTGCTCAGCCTGGCCTGGGGCTTCGTAGCCGACGTGGACCTGGAGAGCGAGAAGTACCGGTGCCTGGGGGAGATGCGCTTCACGGTGGGCACCTTCATGCGCCTGGCAGCGCTGCGCACCTACCAGGGCCGCCTGGCCTACCTCCCTGTAGGCAGGGCCCCCTCGGAGGGGGCCCCCTCCCCGATGCGGGTGCAGCAGGGCCCCAGGGACGGGCACCTCGTTCCCCTGGAGGAGCCGGTGCCCTCCCACTGGACGGTGGTGCCCAGCCAGGACTTCGTGCTGGTGCTGGCCCTGCTGCACTCACACCTGGGCAGCGAGATGTTCGCGGCCCCCATGGGCCGCTGTGCGGCGGGCGTCATGCACCTGTTCTACGTGCGTGCGGGCGTGTCTCGGGCCTCGCTGCTGCGCCTCTTCCTGGCCATGGAGAAGGGCAAGCACATGGAGCAGGGCTGCCCCTACCTGGTACATGTGCCCGTGGTCGCCTTCCGCCTGGAGCCCAAGAACGGGGAGGGCGTGTTTGCCGTGGACGGGGAGCTGGTGGTCAGCCAAGCTGTGCAGGGCCAGGTGCACCCAAACTGCTTCTGGGTGGTCAGTGACTGTGTGCAGCCCCCACCCAGCCGGGAGCCCTTGTGACTCCGCGGGATTTGTGCCTTTGTCTGTCTGCTGGGTCTGCGCCCAGTTCAGGACCCTCCCTCCTTCCCCAGCGCTGGGGGTGGTCTGTGCGCAGCTCTTGACTTCTGGAGAAGAGAGGGAGGGGTGGGCTGTGCTTTGGGAGGGCAGGTTCTGCCTGCCGAGGCCAGAAACCCAGCTGGCTGGGCCGGTTGCCTGGGGAAGGCGCTCGGTTCTGAGTCCACCCCACGAATCAGATCCGAATAAAATGACGTTCCCCACCCGGTGGTCCTGTCCTGGGGACTCGGGAGGCGATTGCTGTCGCTCCAGCCAGGGCTGCACAGTCTTAGTGACATCGTTGGCCTGGCCCCCAGGCGTGGCCCAGAGCTGCCAGGCTTCTCACACTAACTGACCAGGCGGCCTCAGCACTGCGAGCCGCCGGACGCCACGCGTGGGCTCAGGGCTGGCAGGTCTCGCCTGGGCAAATCCGGCTGGAGCCCTGTGGGGATTCAGGCGGAAAGGGAAGATGTCTGCATGTTCAGGGCATAAGGGAAACCGACAGGGAGCCCCCGAGCGCTCCGTGACGTGGCAGGCAGCCTCGAGGACTCCCAGGTCCCCCGGCTCGCTCGGCTGCCTTTGCCGGCTCCCACCTGTCCGCAGGAGTGCAGGAAGGGGCAGATACCAGTCTCCTGAATGGGCCACCCCTGCCCTGCACCGGTGCTCGGGTGTCCGCTCCCTCAGGATCTGGAAGGGGCTGACCCGGTCGCTCGTCGCCCTCTGGGAACCACAGCTACCCGCTGGCTTTCCAGGAAAATACCGCGGGCCAGGAATGGACCCTGCCCAGAGGCGGGAGCACTGACCCCTGGGAACCGTGGAGCCTTAGCCTCCCAGCCCTTGAACTGGGACGAAAGGAAAGATGTGAAAGGCAGACAAGGGAGGGGCGAGGCGCTGTGTGCTGTGCCCCTCTCCACAACTTGGCCAGGGAAGCCAGGACCTGTGCCAGCAGCCCTTGGCCACAGGGGGTCGTTCTTTCCCTGGGGAGGGATGGACATGGACACACACACACACACACACACACGAGATGGACACGCACGTGCAGGCGCACACACAAGGGATGGACACACACATGCACGCGCACACACGAGGGATGGACACACACGCGCAGGCACACACACACGAGGGATGGACACACATGCACACACACGAGGGATGGACACACGCGCGGGCGCACACACATAAGGGATGGACACATGCGTGTGCACGCATACACACACAAGGGATGGACACACACATGCACGCGCACACACGAGGGATGGACACACACGCGCAGGCACACACACACGAGGGATGGACACACACACACACGTGCACGCACACGAGGGATGGACACACGCGCGGGCGCACACACATAAGGGATGGACACATGCGTGTGCACGCATACACACACAAGGGATGGACACACGTGTGCACACACACACACACACAGGAAGGAAGGCAGCAGAGCCCAGGTGAATGGCAGAGGCAGCTTTAATGGTGTCACCTTGTCTTGTTAATGAGCCAAACAAAAAAGAAATGCAAGTAAAAAAAAGCTGAATCACACAGCACTTTATACATAGTGGAAGCGTAGGCGTTCACATCCACACCAGCCACGCAGTGGGAAGCCGCCCCGCAGCGCCAGCCCCCGCCGAGGCCCGCTCCCCCCGCGGCTCGCCGCCCGGCGGTCCCGGCACCGCGCAGGTGTGGAGCCCACTTAAGGCTGACAAAACGCATCATGCTTTGGCTTTTTTTTTTGTCTTTTTTTTCTAATAAGAGTTAATATCTTTGCTTTTGAGATTTATTTTTTCCAACCTTAAATATTACATACATACACCGAAAATTACATCGCTGCAGTGTGCAACAGCATCCTCGGCCTGGAGCTTCACGTCATCAAAGCCTAGAAAACTTAGTAAACCTCTGGCCTGTCTGGCAGGGACGGGCCCCGCTGCCCGCTGGCCGCTCGCTCCCAGCCTGCGGGCTCTGCAAGCGAAGGGCTCTCTGTGCCCCTCCCAGCGTGGCCCCGGGGTGGGCCCTGGCTGTGTGCCGCCGCTCCCACCTCCAGGGCTGAGTCCACGCGGGCTCCCAGTGCCCCTGCCAGCCCCCGGCCGCACAGCTGTTCCAGCGGCTCCCCGGCCCTCCACGCCGTCCCCCGTGTCACCCTGAGCCCAGCCTGGTGCCAGCCTCTGAGGGCAAGTTCAGCAGGCCCAGGGCTACAATGTGCTAACCAGGCCACAGCCAGGGGTTGCTGACAGTGGCTACAGCTCCCCTGGGACAGTGCTGATGCCCGGGGAGAGGGAGAGCTGGTGGTGGGAGCGGCAGGAAGGTCTGGGGTGGGGGGGCTCCGGTGGACTGGAGAGGTTGACGGGGACGGGGGGACAGTTGGAGCAACCCACACTTCATGCAAGGCACATCCGCCCTCGGGCCCCGGGAGCACCCGCTCTGAGCTGGGAGGGGCGGCACAGGGCCAGTGCCGGGACGTCCCGCCTGCGGGGCAGCGGGCAGGGGACCCGCGGGGGGCCTGGACAGGCGGCAGCACCTCGCGACGCTTCTGGCACTTCAGCTCACACTCACCTCGGGGAGGGGCGGGGGGCCTGCACGGGGGACGGGGGACGGGGGGGACGGGGAGGGAGTGGGCGAGCGGCAGCAGCTGGCCTCCCCCAGGCTGGAGGCTACTTGTCCCCAGTGCTCTCGGGCAGGCCCGCCTCCAGCAGGGCCGCCCGGAACTGCGTCAGGACCCCTCGGACGCTCTTGATGAAACCCTTGGACAGCGGGAAGAGGGGGAAGCCGATGTCAGGGTAGCCGCTCTTCTCGGGCAGGAAGCTCCGGTAGCTCTTTCTCCGCTTCTTTGGTTTTACGCTGGGTGGCACGGACGCGTCTGGCGCGGCCTCGGGAGCCTGGTCTGTGTGGTCCCTGCGAGCTGGGGCCAGGCCCTGGGCGCCACCTTCCGAGTCTGAGCCCTGGGAGGCCTCTCCAGGGGCCAGCCCTCCATCCTCAGGTTCTTCTCGGCCCGAGTCCGAGGGCTCAGCCACGGCCGGTGGCTCCGGGGAGCTTCGGTCCTTGGGCACCCCATTGGGCAGCCCCTGGGCCCTCTCCAGCAGCGCGTGGGTCTCCAGCCAGGACTCGATGCGGTTCAGCAGCCGCCAGCCGCCGGTGCTGAAGTGCTGCCTGATCTCCTGCTCGAAGACCTCGGGCGGCCGCCGCACCAGCTGGGTCATGGACTGCACCACCCGGATCAGCGCCATCTCGTTGTAGCAGCGGCTGTTCTCGTAGCCTTCCTGCAGGCCCCGGTCGCTGTCGAAGCCGGCTTCGTTGTAGTAGGGCTCGTTCACCAGGATCAGCCCTGCGGGCAAGAACGCCTTCCCTCAGGGGCGGGCCAGGCCCGGCAGGCCGGCCCTCGCCCCCCGCGGGCACGGCCGGAGCCGTCAGCCCTCCGCCTGCCAGCCGCACCTTGGATGGAGATGAGCACCTGGAGAAGGCTGGACTTGCTCGTCCACCTCTCTGTCCCCTGCAACACAAACACAGCACCATGGACGCCGTCTCGGATGCCCCCGCGGCCCCGGCCGGGCTGGGTGCTGGCACCACACTCACCTTGCCGATCCAGGTGCCCAGGAGGCTGACGCACACCTTCCCGTTGTCATACAGGTTGGGGTTCAAGCGCCCACTGCACTGGGAGAGGTAGCAGAAGTGGGGGGGCACGGCCGGGTAGATGTTGGGGAGCTGGATGTCAAACAGGTAGAGGCCGTCCTCATAGGGGGTTCGCGTGGGGCCCTTGATGAGGGCGGAGAAGAGGTCCTGGGGGGGGAGGGGCTGGGTTGGAGACGTGGGGCCTGGCCGTGCCCTTCTCCAGGACACGCTGGGCCCAGACAAGGCCAACAATGGAGGAACAAAATGCAAGTAACCGCACTTGCTTCTGGGGGCTGGGGGTGTCTCACGACCCAAAGGGTGACCTGAGGGGACCGCCAGAGACCACCAGAGACTCAGGTCACGGACTGCCCAGCTGAGGCACAGGCATCCAAGTGGCACCGAGGGCTGGGCGAGTCGTGGGCTGGGAGGCGGTGGGCACGTGCCAACTGGGTCAAGGGGCCACCCTGTACAGAGACAGTTCCTTTTTTTGGCCCAGCAGAGCTGAGACAAGTTAGAACCTTCAGAAAAAGTTTTATTGAAACTCAAGAAGGAGGACCAGCGCTGTGGCATAGTGGGTAAAGCCACCGCCTGCAGTGCCGGCATCTCATTTGGGTGCTGGTTCAAATCCCGGCTGCTCCACTTCTGACCTGGCTCTCTGCTATCGCCTGGGAAAGCAGTAGAAGATGGCCAAGGCCTTGGGCCCCTTCTCCCATGGGAGACCCGGAAGAAGCTCCTGGCTCCGGATTGCCACAGCGCTGGCCATTGTGGCCATCTGAGGAGTGAACCACTGGATGGAAGACCTCTCTCTCTCTGCCTCTGCCTCTCTGTAACTCTGCCTTTCAAGCAAATAAATCTTTATAAAAAAAAAAAAAAAAAAAAACAAACTCAAGAAGCAACAAAAGTGGTGCCAAGTTAGTTCCCTGCCCCTGCCCCCAGCTCTGCTGATCCCGACGCCGGGAACGGCCCTGCTCCGGGTAGCTCTCAGGATCCCCAGCTCTGCTGATCCCCAGCAGAGGCCAGGAGCGGCTGCTGACTAGGGAAGCCGCCGACCGCACGGCCTGCCCACGCCTCCCACTGAGGCTTTGTCCAGGAGACAAAGCGCGGGCCTGGCCAGAGAGGGCACCACGTGGCAGCCTGCTACGCGGCGCTGGCTGAGGCTAAGCAGGAATGAGCCACACCACAGGAATCCATGGGCAGGGCTCAAGAATTACCCCGGAGCGAGAAAGCAAATCACTGATGCTGTGGCAGTAACACACGATCGGCGTAAACAAGTCGTACAAAGAACCAGTGTCAGTGGTGCCCGTGAGAACCGACAGCCCGAAAGGCCAGGTGTCCCCGGAGACGCACACACTGCCAAGGGCCCCGGCCGCGGCGAGCTCAGGGCCGGGCACGGGCGGCCTTACCTCTTCGTGTGAGGTTGTAATTTTTCAAAGAGCAGAATCTGGTAATAATTACACAGGTAATTTCAAACTGATTGTTAGAGAGAGGGAGGAAGCGAGGCATTACCTAGCCTGGGTGCGTCCGCGGCACTCCTCCCAGCCCTCACCAGCGCACCTGGAGCCCCAGGAAGCCCCTCTCGGCACTGTGCACCTGCCCGCGCCGCCCCACGGCCCACTTGCCA